GGCTGTTGGTCTTTGATCTCAAGAACCTACTGTAATGCATACAAATGTCTAAGAAATTCTGTTGTAAGTGCATATTTAACACTGGTAACAGAACTACAAAAACAACAGGTTATTAATGCATGCAGAGGTTTAATCTGTCTCTGCATACAGAGGTTTTATCTGTCTCTGTGCATGAATGGTAATGTTGTTTAACTGTGTATTTCATTAAATGACATATAGTATAGTACCTATCCAACAACTCTTAATTTAAACTCATTTTAGTTACTATAATTCACAGCTCAAAATCAACTTTTTATCAGTTTTTAGACCCAAATATAACCAACCTAGAAGCCTTATTTCTAAAAAGTGTCTAAAGGACAGGTTTAGAGCTACATATAAGCTTTCTAAAATGTCCATAATCGTAGCAATCCGAGCTACGGTTAAAAAGTTATCGCACATTCAAAACAGCATGTCGGATAGATTCGGTGCTGTCAAATTCACCACTAAATAGGTTAAAACCCATATTTTGGATTCAATCTTTATTCCAACAATCAAAATACCATATAACCATGTTTATATTATTGTTTACAAGATTAATACTCAAGAATTTCACCAAAATAGCCATTAATGAAGAAAATCAAACTTCAACCTATGTTCTTCATTTTCGAAAGCTCCAAATCATGAATCAAGCATCATAACAACTTAGTCATCTGATGTTGCAATGCATACATACATACCCTTGTGTGCACATACATACCCATGTGTTAGAGGACATTATATCCGACAACAATAAGTTAACCAAACTTMATTTAAACTCATTTTAGTTACTATAATTCACAGCTCAAAATCAACTTTTTATTAGTTGTTAGACGCAAATATAACCAATCTAGAAGCCTTATTTCTAAAAAGTGTCTAAAGAACAGGTTTAGAGCTACATATAAGCTTTCTAAAATGTCCAGAATCGTAGCAATCCGAGCTACGGTTAAAAAGTTATCACACATTCAAAACAGCATCTCGGATAGATTCGGTCCTGTCAAATTCACCACTAAATAG